GAAAAAGGAAGGGCGCACATGACACCATATAAGACGAATTTTGCTTCTTCAAATAAAAACCCATAACTGACGGCTGTAGATCTCATCCATTCCGTCGAAACATCAAATAATTTTACCCAACAGATAAGCACACAGAAAAGAAACCGGCAATTCGCATACAACAATTAATTGGAATTTCATGGTTCGAGGAAAGTCACACCCAATGTATCTGGAATTTCACTTCTACCAAGTCGAGGGAAGGGACCATACATTTAGAAGTTAATTATACGTCGAACCGAATGCAGATATCATAGACAAACCAATGGGAAAAGGGGTAGTACAGGAGGAGATTGCTAGGAAAGAAAACTAAAGAAACAACTCTGTACAGGAAACTGTACAAGAAGATATTCCCAATACCTGATTAGAGGTCGTCACGGGGTCTGAAGCCAGTAATTTCCACGATCAGAACCTCAAGCGTGGGCAGGCATTAAAGGAGTTCTAGTGGCATCCTAACAACAAGTCATGCAGGGAGAGGGTTGTCCCCCACAAAAAATAAAGCAGACTACTATTCTTCTTCCTCTAACTCAACAAGCTGTGCCCGTCTCTCAGCTGCTTTCTTCCTTATAAAGAATCCCCACCTCATTGCTGCCTTAATCTTCAGCCATCCAACAACAGCTTTGCCAGGACGTGAGCGATCTTCATCAAAGTTTGGCATTGGAGATGCCACGTAAGGTGGGAATGTATACGCATCTTCAGGCATATTCATAGAGGCATGGCCACCCATACTGAAGAGCCGGAGCATGTGCTGCATATCTTCATTCTCAAGCATTTCATGACTTCTGATGCGAATCTCTTCCTCTGCAAAGTACTCATCAACTCCATTGTCCCTGTTGTGTGACCAATCATCAAAGGGATTGATATTAGATGGCTGTCCAGAGGAGCCAACATTTTGGAAACCTGAGGTAGATGATTGTGGAGGACCAAGAGCAAGCCCAACAACATTGCTATCATTTCTTGTGCTTTGTGATTGGGGAGCATTGCTAACCAGCTGCTGTTCATGTGGCACAAAGGAAGCGCCATTCATTAGCTGGCCCTGGCCTGGATATCTGGTTCCTAGATTATCATTATACCCTGAAACCAACAAGGAAAAACAAATACAATTACCAATATGCCACATCCAGTTGGTAGAAAAGAAAGGAGTAAATTGTTGCCACAAGTCTCAAGTTCAAATCCTTGGAATGAGTTGGGAAGTGATATATAGCTAACATAAAAGACTTTCTTGGAGATTCTCCTCATCTACAATTCTTATCATAAGAAACTATTGATTCAGATTCTTTATAATGCATGTTAGGTAACTGCAGTTCAGAATATCTCCTTATCAGTAACAATCACAAAAAAAGAAAAAGGGCTAAGCGGAATACTCAAAACATCTCCTACCAAATAGTTTCCTAGATACATCTAAATTTCAACCATAATGGATGCCATCTGAAATTCAAGGTCAATTTAATATCAGATGATCTGTGTTTTATTGGAGTTCCAAATTAAAACCCATGCCAATCTCAAATTCAAAAGTTCACTTAGAATGAAAATTGAATAGCCGATAGCTTTCTTCATTACTTGACGTTAATCCAAGGTCACATATCTAAAAACCATAACAAGCTTCCAAGGGACAGACTAATTATAGCACAGTGAAGCTTGCACAAAAAAGAAGGCATAGGAGGTTCAACTCCCACCAGGAAGACTAAAACCGCGATTAGAAAGCAAGGAATTCAATCATGTTGCCTCCAAGTTTTATAATTTTGGAATTCAATGCTGTCCCTTAATTCTCTATTTTTCTTTTGTACCTTTGGAGGATGCCATTCTTATATGTTTATCATCCCATAAAGAAGAAACCTTCACTCATGCTTACTCTCCAGTCCTCTATCAAGAAGAGGAAGGACAGGCTAGGAAGGAGGGTCAAGGGTATGCAGCATAATGATTGTGAACACATCTAAAAGCTAGCCACACAACATTCAAGACAATACCTTAGTAACTAAAAGTTTATAGTAACTAGAACAGTTACCTCCAACAGGTAGGCTTGAATGCAACTGCTCATTAGGAGCCGAAACAGGCAACCGAGGTAGCTGCAGCTGATGATCCAACACATTTGACAACTCTAATGTACCCATTGGAAGTTCATTTCGAGCACTTGACCTCCTATTCTGTTTGAAACTAACCAGTGACTTGCCATCATATTCTATAACTTGATCCCAATTGTCGTAGGCTTTTTTCACCAACGTATCTACATAGAGCTGCAGAATGTTTTTAATTTCATTCCTTAAATGAAAGGGAACCTTTCAATATGATCAGAAGAATGAAATGCAATGATTACATGCAAGAAACTCAACACAAGCCACATATATGAAGCAACAAAAGAGATGAAAATATTATAACCCTAAAGTACTCGGATAAATTCAATGTCAAAAAAGTAGCCCTCTAATAAGGCTTTAGTAACCAACGAGGGGTTAGATCAAGTGGTAAGCGGCTTGTTCCAGCTTAAATAAGGTTTCGAATTCGAAACCTTGTGTAAGCAGCAGTCCTCCGCTGGGAGACTCACCTATCGTTTCTAGGTGCGCGACACGGGTTGGGTCTGAATTAGTCGGGACGAAGCCTCGGAAACCGGGCGGGAAACCAAAAAAAAAAGGCTTTAGTATACCATTTAATTACATTTGAGACACATTAGAAAAAAAGTACAACCATAATCCAAACATAGAATTCAATATTACTAAAGAACATAAAAAAATATATGATCACCCACAGTTTAACAATGAATTGTATGTCTGCTAAAGGCATGAACATTCTTAAATATAGTTTATAGTAATAAATATAGAAGGCCCAATTATTAGTTAAGATAATAATAACAAAGATTTCCCTAAATAAGAAAATGACCAACCTTCTGGTCATCAGCAAGAGAGTCAGCAGGCATGTATTGTTCCCCAGTGATAAGACCGTTCAGCTGGTAGATGTTATTGAAGACAACACCAACATTTCTTGAAACATCAGGATAGTAAACATAAAGCTTACCACTAAGAACACAAGTTCTTGCATGCTCTAGGAGAGCATCCCACATCTTATTTGACATACCGCTTCCAAGAATCTACAATCATCAGACAGACATGTGAGAAGATGTTAAGAAAACAAATACATGAAACTTTCAGTTTCAGAATACTAAAAAATACTCACGTTTCTTAATTTTTGAGAATCCCTGACCACAAGACGCAAAAAGTCTTCAACTGTGTATATTGATGCGTCATTCAGCCTCTTGTGGAATGATCCATCCTTCCCAATCTTTTCCAATCTCCATACGTCATCATTCAATGCAGGTGGGTAGTGCTTCTTGTACACTGTAAAGCAAAACACATGCAACTTTAGAAAACATCCAACAAAAGACTGAAAGAAGGTGAAACATGAAATATAGCATGTACTTACATTCACCCCTGTGATCCTTGACAGTAAAAGCTTCTGTCTTTGCTTCACGAATGCGAATGCCCTCACAAAATCCAGAAGCAACCTCCAATCCGAGCCTGAATTTTCTGCTTCTTATCCAGCTTGAATTGTCAGTGAAAGTGAGATCTCCCAATGTTCCTACCCCCTCTTTGAGAGTAACCTGCAGGTCTCCAGTTAAAAGGGGCCTCTTTCCTTCACGCTCTTTCACCACATGACTCTCAAATTCTTCTTGGGTCCATTCTTCGTCATCCTCATTGTTGAAATCACCTTCAAGCACCACAACATCTAACTTTGCAGAGGCTTCAGCTCCAGTTGTAACAACATGTTCTGTATTTGCATCTACTAAAACAATATGAATGGCAGCACCCTGTTCTCCCTCTACCTTTCCACCCGTGAACAGAGGCAGAGACAACCTTGACCTGAACTGCAGCTGCAAGCTGCGTCCATCTGGACCTTCAATTCGTTTTGGAGAAGACCTTAAGCCCAAAAATAAGGAGACAATAAGAAGCATTAGACAATTAAAAAGAAGAGAAAATAAGATGGATTAGATAGACAATTAAAACATTAATTCAGCAGACAAGGTGGTTGTAAAGATGGGCCAAGATTAGTTATTCTATTTCCAGAGAAACACCATCCTAATTTTCCAGCAAAAAACCTAAGGAAAAAAAAAAAATTCAAGCTTTACTCTATGGGTTTATTGAGCTTCATATAGACAGAGTAATAACAGGAGTATATTCACAGATAAGAGCTAAATTGCCAAAAGTGATCTTATAAACAAACCAAAGTGCAGATCGATGGTGAATATTACTGAAGAAACAGCAAAAATGATTTACACAGCCAACCTCAAAAGCATTTTCACAACTCCATCCCACAATTTTAACAGAAAATACTCTGTGCTTTGCCACTAAATAAGCCACAACTAAACATATTACATATATAACCACGTTAAGCATAAGCACCCTTGTCAGCTCACAAAGCTAATAAATACTTCAACAAAATTTCCTAGCATTTTAAAATACAACTAAACATTGATTTTGCTACTTAAAGATGATAAAATAAGTAACCAACATCTTAAGAAACAATGAAAAAACCATGCACTGTCTAAAATGTTGCCAGTTCTCACGCAAAATCAGCATTGTCCTAACCAGGCAATTCAAAGGTCCCAATATTTCAGGATATACTTAACTAGAAAAAATATATGAGGCCATATAAGTCATCCCCAATTACTCACCCAGATGTTAAAATAAAAGGGAAAAAAGATAAACAAAGTTACATAAATAAAAATTTTGACTACAACCACCAAAGACAAGAAATGACATACCTCCCACTAAGTCTAGCAGGGCCTAGTTTTGCCAATGCACGTTCAACTTCCTCACTTACCTGCATAGCATCAATTGCATACATAAGAAGAAGAAGCAGAAGATGAAGAAGAAGAAAAAGAAGAAGAAGAAGAAGAGGAACAAGACACTTGTAACACATAAATTTCTAAAATCGATTACAAAGAAACATGAAGTGAGCAGAAATCTTACAACTCTGCGGAGAATAGGTTCCAAAGACGAGCAAAGCTTCTGCAAACTGTCCACCTTGAGAGCTTCTAGAATTACACTGCAAGTTATATACAAGCGATTTTCCATGAAACAGAAGTTATACAATCTGTAATGCAACATGCAAATTTATATAACTGGCTGCCAAGTAGCAATCGATAACCATGTTTCAAATATGCCATTTGAATGACATTTGAAAAATGACAACCCCAGACCTCCATAAAATTCGATGGTGTGTTAAAGACAAGGATTTCTCAATTAGCAAGAACCTTGTTTAGTTATCAGGAAAGTTGTGAGAGTAAAAACAGTAAGTTATTTGGAAAACCAAAGGAAGGTAAAGGTGTTAGCTTAGAAGGCTGATCCCATCAAGTCAAGCACAGGTTCAAGTCACTTCAGGCTGCAGAACAAAACACACCAAATGCTCCACAAACTCTTCTAGCCTATAATTCCTCCATAAGTGTAGCACCCCATAGATGTAACTACATAAATTTCCCATTTCTCTTTTCCCGTTACTGAAATTATTGAATCCATATTAACTACAACCACCAAGTCAGAAAATTTTTTCTCTGAAGTTAAAAGTTATGCAAGTATCTATCCAACTGGAAAAGAAGGAAGGCACTACAGCGCAACAAATACCTAGCCAAAGCGGGCCGCTTTCGCTCAGGCTGCTGGTCCTCTTCCGCTTCCAAACTCCTTTTTCCCCTTGTCATGCTGTTTGTCCTCTCCATATACCTAGTCTGTCGATGCATTTTCACACTCCAAGACAACCCTAGCCTCCCAGATCTGCATCCAGAAAAAAAAAAACGTCAACAACCATTCAAAACCTGATCAACTCGCCTCCAAATAAAAAATTTACACAATCGAAAACCCAAATCCACGTTATCACACACCAACAAACCAATTCAAAACCAAAATAGAAAATCAGCAACAGTGATAATTTCCGATCGTAAAGTTTATCAGCAACCAAAAGGAGGAGGAAAAGGAGAAGTAAAATAGCGACGAGAGTGAAGGAAAGAACCTGTTCGAAAGCGAAACGTAGTGGCTTGGGGTGCGTTTGGATAGACAGAATCGGAGAGAAAATCTAAATCGAATTTTCCAGTAAAAATCAGAGCCTCGGAATATCTTCCTACACTTTTTTGTATCTTTGTTCCTGGTCTACTCTGGCGACTAACATGATGAACTTGGGTGACACTCCAGTGCCGTGGCTGCACCGAAAGTCAACAATGAACATTAGGTGACAAAGACCTGTTAATATCTATTTTTAAGCCCTCCAACTCTCGTGAAAACAAACAACTAATCAAGCAATTTGTTGTGAAATAATTTGCGGTGAACTTTTCAATTTATAGATCTTTCATCTCTTTCACTTTTTCATGTAACTGCATATTAAGTGATGGTCTTCTATGTCTAAGTGATTTAAATTTTGAATTTTTATGTTTGAAATTTTAAATTTCATATACTTAAATTGGATAAACCCTTTACTTTCTTTTGAATTTAGATCAATTTTTATAACTCATATCATTCTTTTAGCCTAAACTAATTGACTTGTAATTTGTATGAAAATGATTTAGAAAGAAGTAAGGGATATAAATATCTTTTTGTCTCGTTTCAGTACATTGTCTCTCATTTGACCTTTTTACTTTGTTTTTTCTTTATATTAAAAATGTGGCTTTTGTTTTACAGGTAAGTTTGCTAATCATTTTTTTGTCAAGGACACTTAACTAAATTTATAAAATAAATTGCACTTTTAATGTACAAAATATCTTACAAAACTTGAATCTCTTTATATTATAAATTTAATCAACAAAAAAATATAGTATAATCTAACTGTACTAAATTACATTATATTAATCATTGGATGAAAAGTTAAGCTCTTTAATATTAAGATCTTTTTCCTATTCAATAATTTTCATTTTATAATTTAGTATAGTTTAGATTATAAAGTAAAATTTCCTTTAATCAAAGTATAATTTAATTCATAGATGTGAAAAATAATTTAATAAGAAATATTCTTTGAGGACAGTTATGTTTCTTGAATTTAAATTAAGGATGTGCTCAACGAGTTTAGTTTTGATGATTGGTGTCAATTTTCAAATATTTGTGCTGATGGCATTTAGACTACAAAATGTAACTCTTGTGTCTTTCCTTTTTTTTTTTTTGTAAGGGTGAGTACCACTTGTACTCTTTTAATATTTTGATTCATCAAAAAGAAAAAAAAAAAGATGTGCTCGACGAGTTTATTTTTTAACTTCTTTATAATCATTTTTTTCTCAAAAGCTTGAAAAGGATAAAGAAGAAATATTCTTTTTTAAACTTCTTTTAAAAATTTCAAAATCAAAAGAAAAAAATTATTGTAAACAACTCGAAAAGGCTATACGGCCTATGCCGAACAAAATCTATGAGTGTTTCGTTCCGTGCACTTGGAATCCATTTTGTTAAATACGATAATATTACAAAAAAAAAAATCAAAATAATAATAAAAGCTGAGCTTTATAATTGAGGGACAACCCTTTCTTTTCTGAATTATTTGTTCATGTGTAGTAAAATTTGAATTTAACGTTTTTAATCAATTTATAATCTCAAATCCTTACTAATCAAAACATTTATCTTAAGAAACATTACAATTTGTCTCCATAAGTTATATTCTATTCATTTAACTTTAATATACTTAATTTTTAATTTTACGTATTTAAATTTAATTGTCCACTCTTTTTTTTTTCAAAATGTCATTTAATGTATTTATTTTTTATGTATTAATTTTTTAAAAAAATAATTACAACATATATTATATTAAATAAGAAGGCATATTAAGTCTAGTAATTAATTAAAAATAAATATAAATTTTATTAATTAATTATTACATTTTATTTTATTGGATAAAAAAATTATGCCTATTAAAGTTAAATAAAAGTAGGAATAAACTAGGCTATTGGATTTGATTTTTTATATACAATATGTTTTATCCATAAAACCATTGTTTTTATAAGTGACAATGAAAATGTTTTCTAATAAGAAAACTTTAGGTTTGAATTTATTTACTTTGATTAATAAAATTAGGCTGTACCAATGATATATTGATTTAAATAAAAAGAAATTGATTTTTTAAAATAAAATTTTGAATTTAATTTTTGTGAATGAAAAAATAAATATTGAAAAATTTTATTTATGAGATCCAATACGATTCAATTTTAAATTAATTAAAATTTAATATCACTATTGAATACAAGAGGTCAATACAAAATAATAAAAACAAAATCAGACTGTTAGGTGTAGCTAGAAGGTACAAGAAAATCAAACTTATTTGCTTAAACTATAAAGATTGAGGGCTTAGCTTCTCCTCCACGAAAGACATAGGAATTGTTTCAGCTGAATAGTGACTACAACCGGGGATTACCGTGGACGCTACTGCAGCGGATATTTATTAGAGAGTTATAGGGCGGTGGCGTAGGATTGTACGATGAAAGATAGAGATGAAATCCGGACCGTACATTTTACGTGATTCTCGTAGATGCTTGCCACGTCAGTGGAAAATATTCGGGGACGGTGTGGGCCTAGCCCACGTCACTAGTTTGGGTTGGGTAAACGTCATCGGCTTTTGTCCAACTTGTTCCCCGATTTTCTTTCTCTCCCTTGACAAGTGAGCATAGTTCATCATTTTATCGTACCCTTTTTATTTTTATAATTGTTGTGTCTCTTTTGCATCTTGGGAAATTTTCTTTTTGTAGATTGGAGTTGAAAAAACTAAATTATTTCTTTTGGTGAAAGAGTGCTTTATTTTGTCGTCAAGGTACAATAAGAACTAGTAAATGGAGATAGTCCTTCTTGTTATTATTAAGGGGTTTATTTTATTTAATAATTTAAGTTATGAAACTTGTTACAAATTAAATAATAAAATTTTAAAGTAAATATTTTATTTAAGTTTAATCTTTAGAAATTTTCTTAAAATGTGTGGTTTCAAAAAATAATAATCAATTAGGGTATATTTTTAAATTTATATTCATGTTGTAAAATAAAAAAATCAATTAAAATAAAAAATAAAAAGATAAAGTGAGATAATATATAGATATATTATATTTTTATTCTATTTTTCTCTATACATTTGCAATAATAAAGACTCTATACATAGGAGCTAATGGGTAATAGGAGTTATTGTGATTAAACACCTACTAAATAAAAATGTCACAAGGATTAATCACTTATTAATAAAAGAATTACAAGAAACTTCATTATCATCATTTAAATGTTTGACATTATAGGGTGTTAATCACTATTATAATTGCATAGAAGTAACGTCAATTACATCATTATTTGATGTGTAAATGTCATGAAAAGTAAGGAGATAAAAGATAAAAATGATGAAATATCCACTATAAATTGATTCATAACAATTTAAAGAAATCTAAAGTTTTTTAATTATTCAAAATTGGTACATAACAATTAATAATTTAAATAAAAAATTTATTTTATAAGGCAAACTATATGGTAAAAATGTAATTTATTTTATGAATTTATTAAAATACTTTTAATGAAATTATTTTTTATGTTATTTTATTAAAAATATTTTAATAAATTTACAAAATGAATTACACTTTTAATATATAATTTAAATTGTAAAACATAAATTTTATTTAAATATATAGTAAATAATCAATATCTAATTATTAATAAATTATTATTATTATTATTATTAAATTATCTAAAATTGGCACTTACCAATTAATAATTGGAGAGCAACGACAACACCACTCACTGCCACTAAATAATTATAACAAAGGCTCTTCAATTTGGGAAGATATTTGGGTAAGTGGACCTCGCCACCTTCTAAATGTAATGAAAGTAACTTTTTCTTTAAGTCATGGGTCTTTTTGAGATCACCAATCAACCTCATATTTAAATAACTATCTTTGCGTTAGATTCTAATATTTTATCTCTTTTTTCTTTTATCTAGAAATTGAAAATTGCTTTGTTTTTCCCGGATGTTCCTTTCTCGTTTAAAGTCATCAGATAGGCACGTCCGTCACCCACTAACCCACGAAAATAACTATATAACTTAATGAGGCTATAAGTTTTAAATTTTGTACCAACGACTAAAAAGTAAGTGTAAATGGTGGTTTGGTTGTCATTTTCTTGCCGATGATGGTGCCTCCAATCCAACAGAAATAAAGGTGTTCAATTCCTCTTATCTCCACGCTCTCGCCCAATAACTAAGGTTATTGGTTAGCGGAGATTACGTTTCATAGATTCCGTCTTCGAACTCTATGATGAAATCTCCTTCTTCCCTTCTCCATTTATTTAAAATCTGTACCAATTGCCCTCTTAAAAAAAAAGTGTTCAATTTCTCTGCCATATAGCTGTTGCTTTCAGTTGTGTTTTTGGTATTCAGTTCATGATTAAATTTGAAGATGAATTTTTTATTTAAATTATAGATACATGATATATAAAAAAGTACTATAAAGTTTAAATTATAAAATATTAATTTTTTTTTATCTTAGTTGTACAATTAAAGGTAATTATCTCTTATCGCTTATCTCACCCTACCCGTATGCTATACAATTTAAACTTAAGACCTCAAACTTAAGATCTCTTACTTCCGATGAAAAGAGATGATTACTAAACTATTTAAGTTATTGAATATAAAATATTAATTATTGACTAGGAAAGAAAGTAAATAAAGGATCTTCCTTATCTAATAATTTTTTTATAATTAAATATAATTTAAATTGTAAAATAAAAAATTTATGATATATAATTACAAAAATATTTCCCTCTCAACTAAAAGATATATGGTTAGGGGGTGCCTGATGATCCAAATTCAGAGGCAATGGTCTTTCACTTAATGAATCACGCTTAAAATAAAAAATAATATCTGCACTACCATTCCTAAATGCAAGTTGCCGTCCTGGACCTTGGGTAATCCCTGAAGGCTTAAACCGTACAGACCTTAGTTCACGCAATAAATTTAAGCTGCACAAACCTTATATTATATTATGTGGTATGTTCCCGCATGCCTGAACCAAGCAATTTGGTACTTAACTTTTAGTGAGAACATCACCTCAGTTTGTTATTCGATTCTCTAGTGATCCATTTCTCCCATTCCTTTTAGTGTATAATAGAAATATTTGTAAAAAAATTGCCCTATTTCAAAAAAATAAATAAACAAATAAATAGTACTCTATCTATTCCACTATATTAGCCGTTTTAGTCTATTGCACTAGGTTTATGAAAGTAATTAATTATTTTTAATTTTAGTGTTAAATAATAAAAAAAATACCATCGTAACCTTTTAATTCCTATTTGGTATTACTCGTTGTTTCTCGTATCACTTTTGTCGATTTGTTTTCCATTCGCGCTTTTATTGTTGAGAGAAATTCATCTATAAATCATTTTTATTCTATTCCAATTATGCTTCTAATCAACTAAACTTTTCATTCTAATTTTATCTTTTCAATTTTGTTCCCACTAAAAATTGTCTACAAAATCTAACTTGAAGCTATTGAGAAAAGACGGGGTTTCACAATTGTATACGTATGAGCTACTTGATGGTGATTTGAAAGAGTGGACAGTGGAGCAAGAATTGGGCAAAAACCCACCTTTAGCCACTCATCTTATGAAATTTAAAAGTTTTAATCCTTCACCTTATATTATAACACTTTTAGCCTCTCACCTTCCTTGATTTATAAGTTTTAACCTCTCACTAATTAAAATTGAGAAATAAACCCTCAGTTTAAACTGACTGTTAATTTTGTTAACTGAAAGTAGATTTTTATCAATTAACAATCAACTAATAATTAATTAATAGAATTAACAAAATATTATAAAATTAGTTATATTAACTTTATTAGCTGAAAGAAAGTTTTTAATAATTAACAATCAACTAACAGTCAGTTAATAGAGTTAACAGTCAACTAGCAGAACTAATAAAATATTATAAAGTGAGGGCTATTTTCTTCAATTTTAATAGGTGAGGGGTTAAAAATATTTTAATATAAAGTGATGGGTTAAAACCTTCAAATTTAACAAGATAAGGGGCTCAAAATATGATTTTACCCAAGAATTGGGGGATTTTATAGAAAAACATGACCAAAAGTAGAAGGTTGACTCTTCTAGAACAAGGGATGCAAAGACAAGAAATTTTGTGGCTCTCTAAGTTTTTTTCTAGCCATAATCCTCAGTCATGATCTTATTTTTGGTAGTGGCATTTCCTTCGAAATTCATGGGTTTTGATTGAACTAACTTTGTTGATTATGGTGTTTTTATGTTCAATTCTTTCAAGTGGTGATTAGCGATTGAATTTTCTTAAATAAGTGGTTTTTGTAGTGAAATACTCCCTTTAGATGGTAGTTTAGGGGCCATAATTTTTCATTGTTCCAATGTTGGAGTACTTTGGGTTTTTTTTATCTTTGTTGATTATGTATTGAAAAGTTTTTTAGAATTTGCAAGCAAGTAGATGAAACAAAGGGAAGTCTAAAAGATTTTAAGCCTTTAACATGCTTTGGGTGTTTTAGAGGGTAAAAATGAAAAAAAAAATTAATAGAGTATTAATATCCTAAAAACGTCAGATAAAATGGAACACAAATCTTTTATCTTTCTCTAAAAAATCTAATAAAGTAAATCAGAGGGAGTAATATGGTACCTTTCTAAAAGACAAAGAACTTATTAAAGTAAGTACACCACATTTTCCCTTTTTTTAATGTTTTTTCTTTGAAAATATATGTTTACAGTATGATATAGTGTTTTGTATCTATTTAGACATGACTTAATTAATAGTAGATTCAGTTTTTAATATAATTCATTATAAATTTTTGAATTTTAATATAAAAGGTTTACTTATGAGGAGATTAAAAAAGAATTAAATTCATTTTTTTTAATTTTATGAATCTCTAAAAATTTAGATTCAAATTATCTAAAAACTAATGCGAAATAATAATATAACAAAAAATATTATTTAATTTAAATTATATTAAGTTATACAATATTATTTATTAAATGACATTAAAACTCTATTCTCCGATTGAGACTTTTTCATATACAATAACTCTTATTTTTTTCACTTAATACAGTACAAATTCTTTTTTTAATTTTGATTATATAATAAAAAATAATCATTTCTAGTACCTTATCTCATCACCTCACATATCATGTAACTTATACTTAAAATTTTTTATTTTTAATAAAAAATAATTATTAAATTATTTAAATAGTTTACGATACAATATAAACTTTAAAATATCGTTCCGTAAGAATACTGATATGGTGTTTATAAGTACCCCAATTTTTTTTTTTTAAAAGTCACGTATATATAGGACATTGGTTTTATAAATTCCTTTTTGCTTTCCCCCTCGTTGTCCGGACGGAACCCGAGACTGAAGATGGTGTGGGATTAGCGAGAAGTGAATCCAATCTCCAATCGCCAATTGTCGGATGAGAAATCAAAAAGGGAAAGCACAAAATTAGAGAGGAAAAAAATCCAAACGAAGTAGATAAGAAAGAACGAAACCGAAAAGGATATGTCTGGTAAAACAAGAACGGGATCAGATACCACCCCGCTCCTCACTCAACAGAAACAACCCCCAACTCGCCAGCCCTCCTCCTCCTCCTCCTCCTCCGCTTCCTCCCCCTCCTATTCCCACCGCATCTCTTCCCCCTTGTTCGTTGAGATGGCCGCCGCAATCTCGTCCTCTTCTCCCCGCTCCGTTTTCCTTGGCGTTGACGTCGGCACTGGCAGCGCTCGCGCTGGTCTGTTTCTCTCTCACCTTCGCGATCGTTTTTTATGTTTTAATTTATCTCAACAAAACTATGTTGGTTTTAGGATAGTAATGCCAATCGTAATCTTTTGTGATCTTGACTTGATTTTGATTTTGAACTGCTTAGTGCTCAATGTTAGCGCTGTTTATTCTGATATTTAGTTCATCTTTTTATGTAATCTGGATTCAGAGATTTTACTTTGATTCAATTGCATAGGTTTCTTTGTAGGATTTGTTAATCTTTCAGTTCCTGATAAGTAACCATCAGTGTTTTTATTGTGGTAAATTTTGCTGTACTGAAAGAAGTTGTTTGTGTTGTATTCTATAGGAAGTTGGTCTTTATCCTTTGCTTCTTGATGCAGGGCTGTTTGATGACAAAGGGAACCTTCTAGGAACTGCTAGTAGCCCAATACAAATATGGAAGGACGGGGATTGCGTTGAGGTAATGCATTAGTAGAATTTGTTCAGATAGCTAGTGATATGCTAATAATGGTTTAACTTATGAGTAGGATTGAACTAATGGGCTAATTGAACCTTTTTCTCTGCAAACCAGCAATCTTCCACAGATATTTGGCATGCAATTTGTACAGCTGTGAAATTGGCATGCTCTCTTGCAAATGTTACTGGGGAACAAGTGAAGGGAATGGGGTTTGCTGCTACTTGTTCTCTTGGTTTGTATTTTGCAAAGATTTCTTCTAATGCACTGTTGGGAGGAGAAAATTATTTTTCATGTTGCATGTTAAATATTTAACTGATAATGTGTAGAATAAAGTAGACTAAGCCAAAGGACTTCATAAATCTTAAGCTAAAATAGGTATCTTGTTTGTCCTGCAGTGGCTGTGGATGCAGATGGCTCTCCTGTCTCAGTTTCTTGGAGTGGTGATTCAAGGCGAAACATCATAGTGTGGATGGACCACAGAGCTGTAAAGCAAGCTGAAAAGATCAATTCTTATAAATCAACAGTGCTACAATACTGTGGTGGATCCGTTTTCCCAGAGATGGAGCCACCAAAGGTACTTAGAAAATAGTCTAATTATTGGATGCTTTCTCCTTATCTCGAAGGGCAGAATATTAGTGGTGTTGTACTGCATTTCTCTTTCTTGCATCTGGAGTCACCAATTAGTTTATTTTGCATCAGAGGCTGTAGCTTTTGAGTGCTTCACCTCAATCATTGTCATGCACCTTGGTATTCCTCTCTCCAGTGGACCTAATTGATTGATGATATGTGTGGGCTTTCTTAACTGTGTTGTTGTTAAGAATGCTCAATTCTGATGTGTTTGGCATTTTTCTGTCTGTGCCATGCATTCTGCAAATGCAATGCATCCCAAAAGAACACATCTTTTTCTTCCTGAGTTCAGTATTATTAGTCCTTGGTGAACCAAGATTGGATAAGTGTTAGCAGCTATAAAGTGAGCATGAGCACTTTGAACTTAGGCATTTTAGTTGAGAAAGTATGATGGATTTAAAGTGCTGTTTTTCTGGGGTTGAAGGGTGACAGGTGGGTACTCACAGTGGTTAGTTCGATTTTCAGTTGTGATGGATGGGTGATTATTTAGTTCAACACATGTCATTGATGAGGGAAAATTACAACCATCACAATGTGCTTATTGTCTTAACTAGCGTGTATGTTTCCTTCTACAGATTTTTCCTGGAGCTTTAGTTGGGGTTATGAAGTTAGAAATGGATAAGGAAATATAATTACTTGTGTGTAAGTTTGGGAATAAATATGCCAATTTGGGATTGCTGAGCAGGGTAGTAGGTTTCCATCACAAAAATCAAGTGCTTATCTATTATTTCTTTTGTGCATGGATTTTGAATGGGGGAAATTGATATCTAATCATTTTGTGTGCTTTAGGCTATGGCTGATAAGACTATTTTTGCAGCTTTTATGGGTAAAGGAAAATTTGCAAGAGTCTTGGTCTATGGTATTTAGATGGATGGACTTGAGTGATTGGTTATCGTACAGGTATCTTCACTTTTCAGCTTCTCTGCCATCTTAAACTTCTTCAAGTTGAGACAATGTATTGTTTCTACTCTCCCTCTTTTCATAAAATCAACCCTTTTTTGTTCTTCCTGTTAAGAGCAACTGGAGATGATACACGAAGCCTGTGCACTACAGTGTGCAAATGGACCTATCTTGGTCATGCACACATGCAGCAGATGAATGAGAAAGATTCTAGAGACATGGAAGCTTGTGGATGGGATGATGAATTCTGGGAGGAGATTGGGTTGGGGGATCTTGTTGAAGGGCATCATGCAAAGATTGGTATGTTTTAAGCATCTAAGCATCTTATCTTGTTTGTCATATTTGTTGGCATTTGGGTTATCATTGTTTACACTTTAAAAGTCCAAATTATGGCACTTAAATAACTAAAGTATAATAGCCTTATTTCAATAAGATTTGAGAAGATCCTCCTATTTTGTGTTTTCCATTCTTGAACTTTTCATTAAAATATTTAAACTATGGTATAATTTTTTGGCTTTCTTTCTTTCTTTCTTTCGTTCTCTTCTTTTTTTTTTCTAATTTCTTGTTAGCATGATAGTTGGGTAATTAATCTCTCAACAACAACTATTGCTGTATATCCAACCATAATAAACTTTGTGTTTGAAATATGCCACTATACCTCTTCGTAATTGCTTTGAGGGATGGTGAAGTATGCCTTTAGTGATAATCTAAATGTAAGTTCATTGGATTTTAGTGGAATAACTTCTGATGTTTGTTTTTTATTTTTATTTTTATTTTTATTTTTGTCTTTGCTTAAGAATCATTCTTTAAAAAAAAGACTATTGCCAAAGGAAATGCATTGATCTATCTTACAGATAAGACTTAAAAGGTCCATAATATGGACAGATACTGTGCTTAGGTTGTTTGGTTGTACATTCAATTTTTGTTGCAAACACATAAGAAAGTGAGACACTGGGAGTAATCTGGATTTGGTCTATCTTGAATTGGTGTTAAATTTTTTCCATCCATGATCTCAATGAGTTTAATTTTACTCTATACAATTCTAAAAATATTTCTGAAAGAACCTTGAATATTGATGAGTTAAGAGGGAAAAAATAAAATAAAAAGCTTTTTTGACAACCTCATTAACCCTGTTGAACACAACTCCTGTTCTAATTACACTTTAAAATGTCCATATATAAACTGACAATATATAACATGAACAGGACGAAGTGTAGCTCTTCCTGGCCATCCTTTGGGTTCTGGGCTTACTCCTACTGCTGCAAAGGCAAGAAATTTTGTACTGAAGAATTGACATTGATTTTAAGTGGTTCTTCCTTGAGGTCCTTTTAATAAAGCAAATGTACATATTTAGATGTGAAAATGCAAGCATATACCCTTTTATGGGTTTCAGAGGGTGGTTCTTTATGTTTTCTTACTTCCATGGTCTTGCTAAGTTTCTGTTCTTTTAAAATGAGTATTATCCTTTTTCAGGAACTGGGTTTGGTAGCCGGAACTCCTGTGGGAACTTCACTAATTGATGCTCATGCTGGTGGTGTTGGTGTTATGGAAAGTGTTCCTGAATCAGATTCTGAAGCTAAAGGTTTTTAATTGGACGCATAATGCATTTCTTCTTTTTCTCTTCAGTTGCCTCATCTAATGGTTTTATATTTACTGTTTAAAAAACGGCATAAATTCAGAAGATGATAAGGAAGCCATATGTCATCGTATGGCATTAGTCTGCGGCACTTCTACCTGTCATATGGCTGTATCACGTGAAAAGCTGTTTATTCCTGGTGTCTGGGGACCATTTTGGTCAGGTACATTTGAAATGCGCTTCTGGTGCTTGGCTATTTAATTAATATAAAGCATATGATACACACTCCAATTGTGTGAGAGGTACATTCTGAATTTTCATTCACTTTATATCAAAATTCAGCAATGGTGCCTGAATACTGGCTCACAGAATGTGGGCAGAGTGCTACTGGTGCCTTGTTAGATTACATAATTCAAAACCATGCTGCTTCTCCACGGCTTGCAAATCGTGCTGCTTCTCAGCGTAAGAGATTGGCTGTTTCCTCTCCCACTTTCCCTTTTGCTAATATCGTTGGCTCGATTTCCTTTTTGTTAATAACATTGGGTTGATTTCCATTTTTATGTTCCTGTTTTCCAGATGTTTCTGTGTTTGAATTACTGAACAGTATGTTAGAATCAATGACGAGTGAGATGAAGTGTCCATTTATTGCAGCTCTGACCGAAGATATACATGTTCTTCCAGATTTCCATGGAAACAGGTAAAGCATTTGAGATTTGAACCTTGAATTTTTTAGGTTGTATTCCCTAAAAATCTCGAGTTTAAGCTGTTAAGGTTGTGATGGCACAGGTCTCCCATTGCAGACCCAAAAGCAAAAGGAGTAATATGTGGTTTGACACTTGACACTAGTGAGAAACAGTTGGCTCTTTTATACCTTGCCACTCTTCAGGGTATTGCATATGGTACACGCCATATTGTCGAGCACTGCAATGCCAATGGTCATAAGGTAAGAATGCCTTCTTACGTCATTTTTGCAAGCTTTTATTTGTTAGGAATGTTTGGGTTGAGGGGAATGGGAGGGGAGGGGAAGGGAAAAAATTCCTCTATTTGGTTATCAAAATA